GTTCCTTCTTGTTTCAGCCCATCGACTCACCGATCCTTACACAATACGGGTTTAATCCACCTCAGCACTCCACTTGCCCCCCATATGTGTGGCTCCAGAGTCTGAAAACCAAGCTCACCATTACCGAAGACAATGGGACTTTTAGTTCTTTGGAACTAAATCATCTGCTCACGCAATTCAGTCTTGAATCCTATTAACTTTTCAGGGGCCATTCCAAGTAAGGATGGAAAAGGGCCCTTCTAGCCCCAGGGGCAAGAAAGGGTGATTTATTTGAAAAAAAAAAACACATAACTTCCCCTACTTAAGTTATCATTAGATGAAGAGTTAATGGGATCAGGAATTACAGAGTCTGTCTGTGGTTACAACACTGTCTGAGGGGTGAAGGCGCTGAACACACAGTGTAAGAGAGCAACCTGCAGCTCTACCGCAGACAGTTTTAAGGAAGATTTGAAAATTCAACTAGAGTCTTGGGAGATAGAGAGTATGTCAATAGAGTCTGGCAATCAGAAGAAATGAAGACCAAAATGGACCCATGATTTTATTTATTTCCTCTTTCCAGTGTAAAGGAAAAATTGCAAAACTTTCAGAAACTAACATTTCCATTAAAAAATAGGATAATATTTCTTTCTTTTTTTAAACACAGCCTTTTAAAACATTGCCCTACTGTCCTTCAAGGCACCATGCTTCCTCTCTGAAGCTGTCCCACAAGGGCATATTGTCCATTGGACAGAGAGGGAAGTTCCAGCAAAGAGTCTCCAGTTTTCCACCTGTAATAGCAGCCCCAGAGAGGGTGAGCCAGATGCAAGATTTGCTTCGACTCGGCTTTCTATTCTCAAGTCCATTCACCTCCCAGGTTGATAATACATTTAAAACCCTCGTTCATGTGTAGACCACCATGTTGGTGAGACTGCATGAGGGTCGCTCGTGCCATCACTAGGGGACACAATCTCACAGACAACTCCATGATCCTCTGACTCTTAAAATCTTTTCACCTCCTCCACTTCCACAATGCTCCCTCTTCTGAGAGGTCGTAGAGCCTTTGGGAAATGGGGCCATGGGGCCCAGCTGGTGGGAGCGGTGCTTCTTACCGGATGGCCCTACTCATGATCCTATTTTCTGCTTCCTTGTCTGGCAGTGATATGCCCACCGTGGAGCCACACCACAGCTCCGCCCCACCCTCTGAGAGAGTAAGTGGAACGAAGCATCTCCCTTGGAGGAGCCTCTCTCAGGTGTTTCGTCACAGAGATGAGGAAACAGTGAATGCACCAGCTAACCTAAACACAATCCGTCCACATTTTTTCAAGCCAAAGATCACATACCATTCGAGGTTATTATACGGTAAAATATTCAGGATACCCAGCAATCTCTATCTACAGAGTCCTGGGATTGTTTCTAGACCATTGTTTCAAGTCTGGAAGAGACACCTGGAAGCAGAAACTCTTTTCTGCCCAACAAAGGTTCAGATTTTTTGAGCTCCTATGACCAAGGAACTATTGCCCCAAACGGTTCAACACTAAATGCAACGGAACATTAGGACTGGCACAAACAGGCCTACAACCTAAGCACCGACATGTATTCAGGCCAGGAATGGCATTTTTTTTAAAACATGAGCTATAATTGGACCAAGTAGAACAAGTCTTCTTGAATAACAAAGAAACAAATGTCTAGATGAGCTTGTTCCCTTTCTTGTAAATTTTTAATTTGTTATTCCTCCTACCATTTCCCCCACTATTCTGAATCTTGACTTTACCTGAGAACAATTAGGAAGGGGGACAATCTAGACCCAAATGAATTCAATCAAAATATCTACTGCCTGCACATTACATTTCATCTCTGAAGTATTAGTCCATTGGAGACCATGATAAGAACAACTGATGTACTTTCTGCCATCATTAGAACTATAAATTTGGGCGGGGGAGGGTAAGATGTCAGCAATAAAACAATCCCACAAACAATATCCAAATATGCATTGGGAAATGCACTATGAGGGGCAGGATGCCATGAAGCACCCCAGAGGAAGTAACGGACTGAGCCGAGCTCTGAAGCATGGGTCACAGTTAACCAGGCAGAGGCACTGACAGAAAAACTGGAGCAGGATTGGGGGCCCTGGCTCCCGGCAGGTGGACCAGCATGCGGAAAAGCAGAAAGAACCACAGAGAATTCCAATAACAGGAAGATGGCCAAGAGAGCTGAGCCTCAAATGTGAGGGGGAACGCAGTGAGATGAGACCACAAAAGGAGGTCGCAGCTGCATCAGTGGGTACTTGGACACATGCCAGGCCCCTGAGGATGGTCTTAATCCACTCCTTGACAGCCTTGTGTTTAGTCCCTCCAAGCTTGCCTCTGACTCAGCTCTGCATCATTTACCTCGTGCATCCTGAAATCCTCTCTCACCCCTCTTTCCTCCTCAGGAAACCACTCAGGCTTTCTTCCTGGGCTAGCCTCAGCAACACTAGTCTCAAGTCCCTGTTCCTTCCTTGTTGTCACTTCTGACTCTTTGTCTCTGCTGCTTTTTTTACAGCAAGCATCTTGGCACTTTATTCGCTTCTTTGTTCAAATTTATGTCCAGATCTTTTCTTTGATAATGTGTAAATGCCTCCCAAGGATGATGGTCATTGGAAGGAAAGAAAAAGTCTCTCAGATTTTATCTAACAGCATGAAATCTCCAGTCGTGTTCTCCAGGAATGTGTTTGTAGGAGACATTTGTAGCTTGATATTCCTGAAGCTCTTTAAGCCTGTTAGGAAAGCACTTACCATTTTTAGAAAATGAAACTTGTCTAGCTTCTAGCAGAAATATAAACCAGAAACCATCATCACGGTTTCATTCAGCAGACCGGGGAAGTGGGGCGATATTATCCCCAGGAAACTGAGAATAACGTCTGAAGATATTTTGGGTTTTGCACGAGAATGAAATGGTGATGCTACTTGCAGCTAATAAACAGAATTCAGGAGTGCTATCAACATCTGAGATATCCGAAAATGCACATGATAACCCAAATCACAGAGATCTATCCAGCCCAAATGCTCTTAGTGCAGGGGCTGATAAACCTTACAAGATTTGGAAATGACAGCCCAAGGTCTATACTGCTCATCACTGATTAATGTTATTCAGGTGCAAACATCTCCACAATGCATTCAAATAATTGCTGCATGCATTTGTACATATTTTTGTTGATTACAGGTTCATCCTTCTTGTCTCTCCAATTTAAGTATTTAAAGCCTTCAATGAAATGAAGCATCCTTACTATATACTTAGTAACCCAATAAAACCGGGTTCAGCAACTGGATCTGCCATCCTTACTATATACTTAGTAACCCAATAAAACCGGGTTCAGCAATTGGATCTGCCATTCTTCTTCTATATTGATAGGGATTATTTGGCTTCCTGAGAAGTTCTAAATTTCTTAGCTTATTTTGCTTTACTACAATAGGATATCTAAGAATGGGTGACTTATAAATAAAGGGATTTATTTGTCCAAGATAAAGGGCTACATCTAGTGTAGAAATTGTTATTATGCTGTATCATATGATAAGGGCATAGAAGTATGTAACTCTGGTTTCTCTTCTAATAAAGCCACTAATCCCATCTTGAGGCCCAGCCCTTATGACTTCATTTAGTCCTAATTACTTCCCAAAGCTTCTCCTCCAAATACTAAAACATGAATCTGTAGATGGAGTTTCCATCACATGAACTTTTAGGGGAAATGTCCGAACCATAGCAGTCTCCCCTTTGCTACCAGGGGCCCCACAGCTACTCTGTCGAAGGGAAAGCAGGGTGGGGGGGGCTACATAGTCCAGATAGATGTGAACTCGAAGCAGTGATAACAACCCCAAATCCCAATCTCTGTAACACGACAAGATTTCACCACTCACCTACACAACATCTTAATTGCAGGCCAGCAGGGGCTCTGCTCCTTAGTCATGCAGGGACCCAGATTGATCAAGGCTCTGGCATCTCATGATGAGATTTCAGGGTTTGTCTCAAGAAAAGATATGACAGAGACGTAGGCCTTAGCCCAGAATTAATACAAGTCACTTCTGCTTGTGGCCAAAATATTCATATAGCCACAGCCAGACCAGACAGAAAACTGAACAAGTAGACTGGTAGCTAAGTTTGATTTCTAGCCTGATCAGGTAAAGTCCAAGTAAGTAACTTCTCTAAGGCACTATTTCTTCATCTTTAAAGCAGTAAAAATAATAACTTTTCTCCATACAGTAGCTGTTGACATTAAATAAGATGTTTTCCATGTGACCTGCAGCAGACTTCAGATGTAGAGTATATGCACAGTTCATAAAAACTGCTGTTGTGATTACAACCATGGTGGGAATGATTGTGTTGTTCTTAGGCCCATGGTATGTGCGGGTCTATTCAACCATAAGACAAGGTGGGCTCAACCAGAACCTTCTCCCTGACGTTTCCCTCCACCTCTGGTAATGCAATGATTTGTCAAATTTCATTTTGCATCCTTGAGGATAGTGTTTAATCTTGTTTATTTGTCTAAAATCAACCTTGAATGCCCACGTTTTAATCAATATATGGGTGGGATGCAAAACTTAGATAGGAAGATAAATGAGGCCTCAGTCCTCTTCTTCAAGAGTTCACAGCCTGGGCCTGGGATCCAGAAGAACTCTGCAACAGTACTCAGGAGGTTCAGGAAGGAAGAATCATACTGGTTTTTTTTTTTTTTTAAGCTTTTGTGGAGAAATGTTAACTGTAGTTTAAATGGATGTTATCAGGAAGTGGGTTGTCTGACCAAGGAGAACAATCCAGCAAAGGAAAGGCCATTTGTAACGGCTCAGAAGGAACTTGTAATTCTGTAATTTAGTAAGGCCAGCATATTGAACAGAGGAGAAAGGCAAGAAGTGGGAGTTGGGGGGTCTTCTATATGAAGACGTTTAAGTGGGACAGTGACATAATCAAATCTGCACTAACCTGCTAATACTACTATAACAAGATAGCCAAGCATTAAGTAACTTAAACAATAGAAACTTATTCCTCACCGTTCTGGGGCTTCATGTCCAAGATCAAAGAGGTAATAGGAAATAAAGCTACTCCCCTTGGCGTGCAGATGGCTGCCTCCTCTCTGTCTCCTCCCTCACACAGCCACGTGGTCTTCCTTGTGTGTACACAGCTTCCTGGCAACTCTTCTGCTTCTTATAAGAGCATTAGTCACATTGGGTGGGAGCCCCACCCTTGTGACATCACTTAGCTTTAGTTAGCACCTGTAAGGGCCTATCTCTAGACAGAGCTTCCCTGGGTATGAGGACTTCAAAATGTGAATTTAGGAGAAGAGGACAATTAAGTTCAACAATGGGCAAGCTTGCTGGTAAGAGAGCACTAAAGGAGGATGCTGCCACAATCCAGGCAAATCCCTCGGGGACTACAACAACTGAATGGACACAGCGATGAAGAAAAGGAGAAGTATGTGAAAAATAAAAAGTAGGCCTAGGGATGTAGTCTACAACCTAGGCTGGAAATACAAGTAAGAGAGCTATCAGCATGGACGGAGTTAGCTAAGGACATGGAAACAGATGCGGTCACCCTAGGAAATGCACTCGAGTGAAGAGAAGAGGTGGCCAAGATCCAAGCCTCAGGGAAAAAAAAAAGCCATTTAAAAAGTGGACAGAATAAGAATTAGCAAGAAAGCACTTGAGAAAAGAACCTAAAAGCAAATTGAAAACTCAAGAATGTTTGAGGTCATGAGAGACAGGGAAGCGACCCTGGTCAGCAGGGTCAGATGTCAACAAAGCGTTAGTAATGTACATTTTAAAATGGATTAAGGACCCAGTGACCTCTATGGGACAGGTGTAGCACAGAAAAGACTGACTCTGCGACAGCACTGTGTGATAGGAGGGGACGAAAGGCAGAGGAAACTAAAATGCTCATCATTTAGTTGACTGGGAAGGATATGAGAAAGAGTATGGTGAGACAGATGAGCAAAGATGTGGTTTTGTTCGTGTGGAAGACAGAAGCACATCCTTACCCTGAGAGGTACATGCCAGTCAGGAGGTAGACTGAAAATCTAATAGAGGGTAGGAAAGTGGTGGCCTAAGGACCCCAAAGCATCAGGAATCCTGACTACTTAAATGCCGGGCACATCATCTATCCCATGGGGAAAGCTTATGCCGCGCAGAAGTTAAAAGACAATGGATGATGAGGCTTCCGCTTCTCCCTCCCCCTGTCCACAAAGGCCTGAGGCTGAAATCTTTGAGGCATCTTCCAGTTTCTCAGATGGCTTTTTCCTATTCATATATCTTCTAGTTTTGGGGGGCAAACCCATTATTTTTCTGGGTCAGGCTATTGTTATCTAGATATAGTCTCCAGCAGCTAATAGTTCAATAAACACTTGTCAAATAAAGCAAGCAGGGGCAGTGTCTTAACCTGCACAGTGTGCATCTTCCTGGGGACACCTGAGGATGGCAGTGTCTTAACCTGCACAGTGTGCATCTTCCTGGGGACACCCGAGGATGGCGGTGTCTTACCCTGCACAGTATGCATCTTCCTGGGGACACCTGATGGTGGCGGTGTCCTATCCAGCACAGTGTGCATCTTCCTGGGGACGCCTGAGGATGGCAGTGTCTTAACCTGCACAGTGTGCATCTTCCTGGGGACACCTGAGGATAGCGGTGTCCTATCTGGCACAGTATGCATCTTCCTGGGGACGCCTGAAGATGGCAGTGTCTTAACCTGCACAGTGTGCATCTTCCTGGGGACACCTGAGCATGGAACATGTGACAGTCAGGGATAAAGGAAAGGCAGATACACTTGTATGGAAGCTCTCTAGGAAAGATTCATTATTCATCCCACAAACATTTACTGAGCGTATGGCGCTGCCTTCAGCCACGGAACAGATGGCCCAAAGCAACCGATACACGAGGCCTCCTCCAAACTGGAGGATTCCCTACTCCCCACAAATGACAAATCAGTAGCTGCAGCATGCACCCATCTGCTGTGATCTGGAGCCCAGATATTCTCTCTGCCTCTTCAGCATGGAGGAGCAGATCACTACCAATTTTTCTTTCTGTCAACAGAAGCTGAGGAATAAAGTATGCCCAATTGACATAAGCAGTCCCAGTTGCCTTCAGAATTTGGCCTGAAGCCCAATTATATTTTCTAGTTCATGCCACAGTACATGAAAAGTACAATTTGTCTCATTTCTTTTCCTCACTTTTAAAAATATTCAAAAATTAAAAAGAAAAACCTTGGCTGGGTGAAACCAACCAAGCATGTTCTTCAAGAATAATTTTGAGCATAATCCATAGCTATGTTATTATGATATATCCTCTAAGACAGATTCAGCTAAAAGAATCTGGATATATTATTTTTAAATTATATTCATATGAATAAAGTATATATTGCATACAAATAATTTTAAAATATTGTTGCTAGGTTGAGAATAAATCAAGGTTGTAAATATGTTCATGGGCACAGGCATGCATGTGTACACACACACACACACACACACACACATACACACAAAGACAGAGACAGAGAGAAAGAGAGACAGAGAGAGAGACAAAGAAAGGAAGCACTAAGTTCACAATGCAATGTTTTGTGAAAATTATTTTCTAGGCTTATTGTTTGAAATTAAGACTGTATGTTTTCAGGAATAATGTATACATGGTAGGTGGTTTCCCAAGGATATATCCAAAGGCCTACTTCACCAATAATTCAGGCAAACTAAGTCAAACTGGTCTGGTTTCCAGGGGCAGAATAGCCAAGTGCAGTGATTCCTGCTTGAAATTTCAGTTCCAAAGTAGCTGAGGCAGGAGGATTACCATGCATTTGAGGACAGTCAGAGCTACTGGTGAGTTCCAGAACAATCTGGGCTATAGAATAAGACCCTGACTCTGGCAGGAGTTTTGGTGGTTTCCTTTCCTCAAGCAGAGACCTCTACTCAATACCATGCCCCAATTGTATTTACCCCTTTCCTCTAGCTTAGAACACACATCTAACTATAACCCATAAACGGAACCACAACGCCTTGCGTTTGCCTTCGGGAGAGAATCCCAGGATGTGATGTGCTGGTGAAATCCAGACAGAAGGAGTTTAGATCATTCATTGTGGACTTGCTCAGTTGTCTTCTTGGAGCAGAGAATAGAAAACATTTTTTAACTGATTTAATAGCTAGTTTCTAAAATAAGGAGCAGAGTAGATGCTCTGAATGCTGGCAGACTTTGAGTCTTCCTCTTCTGGGCATACCGCCCAGCCCTTTAGTGGAAGGTGGGGCCATGTGACTACTTCTGGCCAACAAACTATGAGTAGAAATGTTTCCTTGAGGCTGCAGCAGGAAGGGGAAAGCTCCCACGTGTGACTACCCAGTCTTTCTGTTTCTTGGCGTTTAGTTTTCTAGGGCTGCTATAACCAAGTACCTTAATCTGAATGGCTTAAATAATAGAAACTTACTATCTCACGGGTGAGAAATGCATGAGTACCATGCTTCTGGACAAAGGACCATGTTCCCTCTATAATCACAAGGGACAGATCTTCTCCAAGACTCTGTCCTAGCTTCTAGGAGCACATTGGCCATGGCAATATAATCCCACTCTTTGTACAGCAGTCTCTCTGTGTGTCTCTGCATCTAAAATGCTGCCTTCTTGTAAAGAGGACAGCCATATTGGGTTAGAGTCCTGCTCTAGTTGGACATGGTTTCAGTAAACTCCTCAAGTTTCCTGTACTGGAATTTAATATTCATCGAGGGATGCTGAGGGAAGAAAATTGTCTGATTATGCTGTTCAGAGTTGGGGGCTTTGGGCATGGCCTAGGGTTAGATAAGGTCCTCAGAGTCTGGCTGTGTGGTTGAACTCCTTGTAGCTTTCTAACATGACGAGGAAAGGCCAGAAAACACACATGCACAGGCCATGTCTCTGTCTTCTTCTGTGTGACATCTGCACCACCTAGGGACTCTGGTGATGTGACTCTTTAGCTTGGATTTCCAGAAGAGTTGGTGAGATGCATTTCTTTCTTTTCTTTACAACTCACCTAGTCTGTGATAGCTTGTTATTGGCAACAGAAAATTGACTAATGTAATTATATATGATTGTGTTTAAACTCTATCAATATCTCTAAAGACCCTATCTTTAAATAAGGTCACATCCTGAGGTGTTGGGGGTTAAATCTCCCAGATATCTTTACCTGGAAGATTTAATGGAACCATAGTCACTGGTTACCGAGAAAATAAAGACCGAGTGCTGTGGGATGTTCTGTATGTCCTGTGGGAGCCCTTCTTGGGTTCTTTGTGGCGTTACCCAGCAGGTCCGCATAGAGGATGATTAGGACCATGGGCCTGAGTGCAGGTGTCTGAGATGGTCTGCACTTGGCTGTGCTGGGGGATGGTCTGTATGTCAAGTTGTTCTGATTGATCAATAAATAAAATCTGATCGGCTGTGGCTAGGCAGGAAGGATAGGCGGGACTAACAGAGAGGAGAAATAAAAGGACAGGAAGGCAGAAGGACTGGCTGCAGCCGCCGCCATGACCAGCAGCATGTGAAGATGCCGGTAGGCCACCAGCCACGTGGCAAGGTATAGATTTATGGAAATGGACTAATTTAAGCTATAAGCACAGTTAGCAAGAAGCCTGCCACGGCCATACAGTTTGTAAGCAATATAAGTCTCTGTGTTTACTTGGTTGGGTCTGAGCAGCTGTGGGACTGGCGGGTGACAAAGATTTGTCCTGACTGTGGGCAAGGCTGAAAACTCTAGCAACAACTGCGTGTTGAGAGAGTGGAGCCTGGATGCCGGAGTCTAGGCATAGAGGGAAGCTACCCGGGGATTCACAAGCCCTTCCTAGGAGGGAAGATTAAACTTTCATTAAGACTGGGATTTGGAGGGCTGTTTGTTATGTAGCACAGCCTAGCCTAACTATATAAGTGTCTTAGTCAGTGTTCTGTTGTGAAGGGACACCATTTGATTGTGGACGGCTTACAGTTTCAGAGGTTTGGCCCTTTCTCATCACAGCAGGCAGCAGGGCAGCATACAGGATGCTGGAGAGGTTCCACATCAGGATCCGAGGGCAGCAGGAAGAGAAAGAGAGCCACTAGGCCTGGCTTGAGCTTCTGAAATCTTAAAGCCCACCCCTTGCAGTGACACACTTCCTCCAACAGGCCACACTTTAACAAGTCACACTTCCT